CAGTCCTAGAGGAGATCAACCCTGACTGCTCTTTAGGAGGCCAGATCCTGGAGAGGAAACTCAAAGATTTTGACCACCTAATGAGAAGGAAAGACTCATCGGAGAAGAGCCTAATGCTGGGAAAGATTGAGGGCAAAAGAAGGGGACGACAGAGAATGAGGTGGCTGGATGGAGTCACCGAAGCAGTCGGCGTGAGCTTAAATGGACTCCGGGAGATGTTAGAGGACAGGAAGGCCTGGAGGAATGTTGTCCATGGGGTAGCAATGGGTCGAACATGACTTCGCAACTAACAACAAATGTACAGACCATATGTAAATGGTGGACCATATGTCAGTCCTCAAGTTACAACAGTTCACTTAGTGATAGTTCAAAGTTACAACATCATTGAAAAAGTGACTTCTGACCGTTTTTCACACTTATGACCGTTGCAGCCTCCTCATGGTCACATGATCAAAATTCGAATGCTTGGCAAGTGATTCATATTTATGACGGTGGCAGTGTCTCAAAGACATGTGATCTCCTTTTGCGACGTTGTAACAAGCAAAGTCAATAGAGAAGCCAGATTCCCTTAACAACCGTGTTACTAACTTAGTAGCTGCAGCAATTCACTTAACACATGTGGCAGGAAAAGTCGTAAAAAAGGGGCAAAAGCCATTTAACAAATGTTTCACTTAGCAACAGAAATGTTGGGCTCAATTGTGATTATAAGTTGAGGACTACCTGTATTTACATCCACAATCGGGACCGAAATTTTTGCCATTAGTTGTTGAGATCATAAGTTGAGTTAGACACGACTGCATGACAATTTGACAATGGTTGTTAAGCAAATCACATGTCGTTAAGCAAACCCAGCTTCCCAAATGGGCACTTTTTGCTGGAAATTGTCAAAAGAAATAGCAAATTGCATTTGTCTGACAATATCACCAGTTGCAAATGGAAGCTGGTTGCCAAGTGCCCAAATTACGATCCCATGATGCTGACGATGGTACGATATCGTAAGTGGGTGTACAGGTTGTAAGTCATTTTTCCTGAGGCCACTGTAACTTTGAACCAGTGGAGGGTTTCAAAAATTTTTAGAACCTCTTCTGTAGGTGTGACTTGCTTTGTGGGAGTGGCTTGCTGGCCATGTGACCAGGTGGGAGTGGCTCATGGCCATGTGACCGGGTGGGTGTGGCTTGTGGCCATGTGACCGGGTAGAGTGGCATGCCAGCCATGTGACTGGGTGAGCATGGCCAACTTGTAAAATGTGGTGAAACTCACTTAACAACACTCTTGCTTAGCAACCAAAATGTTGGCTCAGAAACTCTGGCATTGAAGTGTGCAAGTCTTAAACCGTCAAGTTACAAGACCCTTGCACCCCTTAGAAAAAAAACCCCCAGGGGTGTTCAAACTTGACAGCTTTAAGACTTGTGGACTTCAACTCCCAGAATTCCTCCTCCAATCATGTTGGCTCAGGATTCGATTCATGTGTGCATTAGGGCTGTGATGGTGAATCTATGGCACACATGCCACAGGTAGCAGCAAAACCCTCTCTGCGGGCACATGAGCCATTGCCCCAGCTTAGCTCAACCGTGCATGTGCAGGCGTCTCTCACCGGCCAGCTGATTTTGGGGTCTTATGCGTAGAGGGTGGGGGATCATGTGCGCATGCGTGGGGGTGGGGGGAGTATGGGGTGTGTGGTGCGCATCTCTGCCCCCCATTTTTGGTCCCAGGAGGCTTCAAGGAGGTCTGCCAGGCCCAAAATGGACGCGGAGGGTGTCATGTGCGCATGTGTGTGTGTGGTTGCATGCAGGGGTCGTAGATGTATTAGATTATGGGTGTGGGCACGTGCATGCGCTGATGCATGCATGCTTTTTTAGTACACAAGGATAAAAAGATTAGCCACCACTCCATTAGGGTATTAATCACGGCACGAATCCTTTCTGAAGCCTCCCGTGTCAATGTTTGAAATATCAATTTTGAACATGCTAATAGTATGGTGTTCTTAGTCCCTGCCACCAGGCTTTCATTCTTCAAAGGCTTCTGAGAACTAAGAGGAAATATGGAATTAGAACTAACTTAGGTTACTGTGGAAATTGAAAGGACTTTGCTTTTCTCCTACTGACAGCTCTCTCAATCTATAAAGAATTCTCCCCCCCCCACCCCCAAAGAATTACAATCAGAGGCACTTTATTCAGCCCCTCCTTTGGTTATTATGACCCATACAAGTTTGGCCACACTTTATGCGTTGCTTTTAAATGCAATAAAACCAACTGAGTTACAACATCTGGCTCTTGCATAAAAGAAACCTACGAACTGCCCAGCCAGCAAAGAGGTTCCTTCAAAGCTCAGACTGTTTAGCTATAATAGAATAAATGGCAGCAATTTCTTTTGTGAAGAAATGCATTCCATTCTTCTGGGTGCAGCATTTGAATTGCCTGAACTCAGGCTTTAAAATTATTGAAGGATGGCTGTGCATTTGATATAACCTAGAAACAGGCTTTCATATATATATATATTTCTGAGTTAGAAAGAACATGGTATGGGAATTGTTATCAGGGCATATTTTGTTTTAGGCGCAACCTGTAATTTGCATTTTAAATAGCAGTTTGATCATTTCCTGCCTACTGGAAGCAAACAACTTTCCCAAACAGCTTGGCAAACCAGCTTGGTTTGCTCCCTCAGTTTCTGCCAGCTGCAAACTCCAGAGAAATGCTTGGAACCTGAGCATTCAGTGCTTGCTCGAAGTAAACACCGTTCCATGATTCTCTTTTGCAAAGCTAGATTAGATGGCTTCTTTCTTGACACTTGAGAAACCAGTGGCATTTGCAAGGCATGGTCAAAATGGTCACTCTCTACCATGGACCTCACCCCATTCCTAATAGGTCTATAAAAAGGGGTTGTGCATAAGTGCACCATCATGTCTACTGTCCTTGTCCTACTGTCCCCATTTACTTGTACTCATTCCTTGTTCATGTCCATGTTTATTCTTATACCTGTTATCCAGTACATGTTTGACAAATTAAATAAATAAATAAAAGAATCAAGAGAGGTGGCTCGTACTACGAGTTTGATCGTACTATGGTAGCCTCCGTCTTGACTTCACCATACCTTATCAACACTCTCTATACCACCCTATGCACAGCACATAAAAAATAAATCTGAAAAAGTGGAAAGCTGTGCATTCTTTTTTTAAAAGTGTTTTTATTCAGCGTTTTCCAAACATTAAAATCACAATTACCCTTTTACAGCTTTCCATTATCGGTATTTCTTGTTTCTAATTTCGGGTTTTTCATTTTATAACCTGTTGTCTTATACATATTCCTCTTTGTTTCATGCTATCTCATTACGTCTATATACAATATTTCCATCTCTATTACTTTCTAAGTATATACATCTCCTTTTATTGTGTTTTCTATATATTCATTATGCATTGATTTTACATTTCTTTTCAAGCCAATTAAGCCACCTATTCCATATCTTGTAGTAGTTTCCTCTAAATCTCTTAGTTCCATCGTTAGTTTGTCCATTTCCGCGCATTCTAGCACCTTTTTTATGATCTCTGCATTTGAGGGAATGGTTTTTTGTTTCCAACTTTGGGCAAATGAGATTCTGGCTGCAATAATTATATGAAGCATTACATACTGGATGTGCTTACTAATATTTCTTTTTATTATTCCTAGAAGAAACAGGAAAGCTGTGCATTCTAAGGGGAAATCAATGTGGACAAACCTGGTTTAAAAAGGGATACTTCAAAAACTTTGAAAGGGCAGTGAAAACATTCAGAAAATTATCTTCTTGCTACCAACTTTTTGCTCGTCCAGATTATTGCAAACACACATGTGGTAGCTTTTAGATTTCCAGCAGAAAAAACAGCCTGCATGTGTGTGAGGGAAACTTAATGCTTCCTATGATGTTTTTGTTTTCCAATTTACAACTCCCTAGTTGTTTCCCACACGCATGCCCCAGTCCCAGGAAGGGTTAAATGCATCTTTGAAGATTAATGACATGTAGGCAACTCCATCCTTCCAGGAGGAAGGAAAAGTAAGCACGTTGGGATAGGCAGAGCATTCTAGTGAAAAAGAAGGCTGTGGGGGAGAAAATTTAATATACCATGTCGTTTCTCCACTTTTAATCCTTCCCAGGAGACATTTACTAAAAATATGTGCGCTTGGTGTATATATGTTGTTTGAATTTTAGAGAAGGAGCTCTGTCATATTGTAGGGTTAGAGTAGAATCTCTTTCTCTGTAGAGAAATCTGCGAAAGCCATAAAGAAAACACCTTAATCTTAATATAAGAGTTCAAGGCTCCCTTAAGTGCAGCTGATTTATTTTTAT